AGGGACCAACCATCATGGAAGCAGAAAATAAGCCTCTCCCCCCCTTCAATTTTTGGTTTGCAAAGAAGATCCCATGAGGCATAATGAAGACCGGCAAAACCTTCCTTTTTGCTCCAGATAAAACTTCTACACATTTTGTCAAACTCCTTCAAGATGCTAGCAGGGACCAGAGAAAGAGTAGACAGAAAAAGTGGCAAAGAAAGGAAAGCTGATTTGGCAAGAATCATTTTACCGTCCAAAGAGATGCAGTTTTTTCCCCAAGTATTTAATCTATTAGCTGCAGCTTCCAACAAAGGTTGAAAATCAGATGCTACCATTCTTCTTAAGGTCATTTTAATCCCAAGATAGTTCATCTCCTTGACCACATTGAATTTAAGAATGTTGACAACTTTATCTTGGGTCTTCTTTTTTGTATTTTTAGCAAAAAGAATCATAGATTTAGCAGAATTAACTTTCTGTCCCGTCCAGCTACAATAGTTGCAAATAATGTCCTTCAATTCTTTCACCTCTTTCATCTTTGCCTCCTCAAAAATAAGAATATCATCCGCATAGAGCAGATGAGAGATCTTCGGTCCTGAAGTGGAAATAGAAATTCCTTTCCCCTTCCTTCTCAAGGATAGAGCATCCGAAAAAATTTGAGCACATAAAATGAAAAGAAATGGAGATAAGGGGCAACCTTGCCTAAATCCACATTTCCCTTCAATCCAATTAGTCTTCTTGCCATTAACCAAAATGCAGTATTTTGGATGCATCAATAAACCAGCAATCAATAAAGCTCCATAAATTTAGTGGGAAAGTTAAATCGAATAAGAACTTGTCTGAGTGTTTGCCAGCCAATACTGTCATAGGCCTGTTCCATATCAAGTTTGACTGCTAGCATCCCTTTTTTAGACTTGGACCACCTAAATTGTTGAAAACTTCATGAGCAATGAGGACATGATCTGCTAGAGAGTCGACCTTTAATAAAGCTGCTTGGTCAACCGTGATGAGTTTAGGGATAATTTTCTGCATTCTTCCTTAACAAACATTTTAGTACAATTTTATAAATGGTCATACAATAAACTTATAGGAACGGTAATGGAACGGCTCCAGAGGATTTTTTATTTTTTGGAATCAAAAACAATCAAAGTCTCTTCCAAGCCTGATCCATAGTACCAATGTAAAAAGTAAGTGATTCACTGCTGTCCACGAACATATCTTCAAACTGTATCCCAAAAGTCTTTAAAGAAAGAGAATGAAGAACATCCAATTAGGAATATGCCTCTACTGAGCTTTTGATAACCTCCTAAGTTTCTTCTTTGTGGAAATCTGACCATGAGAAAAATTACTGTCAAGATTGCCAATGGTCCTTGTTGTGTTCGGCCAAATTCTCCAGTGAACATTCCTATAACTGCCACTTTAGCTTGTAAAATTCCGAAAAAGTGTTCTGGATAACATTCAATAGCTTTTAGAGATAATCCCTCCTTAGTCTTGATATGATTAATCCAATTGGAATTCTTCTAGCATTGGAAATGCATGTAAAAAGGAAGAATTACAATCATTCATCACATCCATTTCACTTTAGCTCTTTGTCTCCACCAAGTGTTAAGTCTAGCTAAAGTAATATTGAGATCATTGATTTTAGATCTCAAATCTGAAGTTTTTCAAAAGAAATCCAACCCCCTCCTTCTTCTTTTTGAATTTCCTGAATCATAAACTTTAATCTATCTCTAAGGGAATTAAGCTCTAGGAACTTTGCCTTGCTCCAATGAATATCCCCTAAGAGTTCTTCTCAATTTCAGATTAAAGAGAGCTTGTGGATCAGCCAAACTTTCTTGTTCCATAAGTTCTTATACCAAAGCCCGTCGCCCCGTAATAAGTAGCCCAGTTTCTTCAATAACGAATATATTTTTAGGCATCTTCATCAATCGGCTTGTAGATATTCAGCAGTAAGGGAATGAATCCGAAGCTATGCGATGATAAGTGCTTAACAAATGCAATTTGTAACAAGTTAAAGCTGATGAATTGATTAAACACATATCAAGCTTCCAATATAACGAGCATTGCCATTCATGTTGTTATACACCAAGTGAACTTAGACCATGGACTTAAGTTCATGTAAATCATTGGCCAATCATAAAATATTCTAAAATACTTCGAGCCTGTGATAAGGCCAAATCTTCTTTCCACCTCGTTTCTCCTACTCGTGATAAAACACAATTGAAGTCTCCTCACAAAATCATTGAAGATTATAGAACAATGCTTTTCCAGATCTTTCCACAGGTCTCTCCTTAGCATGCATAACTGTGACTGCCATATAACTGGATGCACCATGTCCAGTTTCCTTTACCGTGACAATCAATTATTCCCAAAATCATTTGAGATGTAGCTTCCTTCACCACAAAGTCAGCTTAGATCAATTCTCCACAAACACCATTAACACCAGAAAGCCGTTGCTGGACAGAGAAAAAAAATCCAATTTCTACCCCAATAAACTTCAACAGATGGTTATTATCAAGAGAATTGATTTTTGTTTCTACAAACCAATAAAGAACACCTTATGTCTTAATAATCTCCTTAAGGTAGAGGAGCCTCCATTTTTTGGCCCCTCTACAATTCCAAAATAATAAGGAAGTCATTGTTTGGTAATGGGGTTCACACCCCTCACCTTTTTAGTTTTTTCACTTCCCCCCTTCCTATTATGAGGGATGACATTACCCGATCCCAAAGATTTGAGTTCTTTCAAAAGCTTGGATTTCTTCTCATTAGAATGAATACCTTTTTCACAAGAAGTGGACTCGGGACAAGTCTTGACAATAATTTGAGAATCAGCAGAATGCTGATTTGGACCTTCTCTGGTTACTGGAGCTGATTCCCGAATCTCTCCCTCCTCGAAGCCTTCATTTTCATGCACCTTAATAGCTTCAGTCTCCTTCTCCTTAAGATCTTCCAAGTCTGTTAAGACAAAAAACTTGTTGGGAGTTGCAACACTATCCTTGACTTCCACAATTATTTCTATAACACCTTCAGCTTCTGTTGAAATAATACCAGAATTATCTGTTTTCTTCACTTCTGGGATACCAAGGATTTCATTAGCTTCTCTATGATCTGAAGCGAGCTCCCCAACCTTATTCGAATTGGAAACAACAATTTTTGGCACAAAAACCTTCTTCATGGGAATAGCGTTTTTAACACTAAAAGACCTCTTGTTTCTCAAGTTTTTTTTGAACTTTCTTCTACCATGACTCACAGTGATCCAGGGATTTTCTTTTAATCCTTCAGCAGCCACATTTTTTATAGCAATTGATTTTGCCGCCTGTGCCTTAGCCTCATTAAAGGGAATAGAATATCAGAATTCAATTCAGTTTTTTCTTTCACCTCTCCACAAACTTTGGTATCATGTCCTAATTTGTCACAATTGGAACATAACTTAGGAATACCTTCATATTCCACTTTTTGGAAAAATTACCTGCCAAGCCTTTTACCCACACACCTTGAGGTAGCACCAAGTCAAGAGGGATTCGTATGCAAACCCGAGCGAATTCCCTTCTACTCCATTGGAAAGTATTTCCATCGAGAAGAAAAGGTTTGCCCAGCAGCGAAGCAATCCTACAAATGTTGACCTCGTCCCAACATTGTAAAGGAAGATTAATCAATCTAATCCATACAGGCGCAGTAACTCCCTTCATTGACGCTGGATTGAACTTTACCGTCCACCTATCCAAACCAATGATCTTTCCTCTGATAAGCCACGATCAACCGCGAAGAATGTTTTCAATAGCCAATGGATCTTCAAATGCACACAGAAACCATCCTAGTCCCAGACCCGTGATATGGAATTTGCCAAACTTTTCCCACAGCCTTCTCATATCAGAGCTGATCAAATGGAATGGAATGCTTTCGTCAAAAATTTTCACCACCAGCGATTTGTTCAATTTGTTAGCATTTTCCTTTTCCTTATCAAAATGCAGCAGCGCCATTTTACCATCTTCAGACAGAAATGATCCCAGATCCAAGTTATCTACTTTCAGATAAGGACTTTTGTACCACACATAATTATTCTTCACTGCATCGCCCTTGCTCAACACCGAATTCACCTTTCCTGCAGAGATCTTCGGAACATCCTTATGAAGGATAAAATTCTCTCTCAAAGACAAATTTACATCCACATTGTTCGCATCTGTTGAGTTGTCAATAACCGGAGAACTAGATAGATCCCGCCGACATGGGGATGAGGGAACCAATCCTTCCAGCAGAAGAAGAAGCTCCTCCATTGTTGATAATTTTTCCAAAATTCGTCGAAACCAGAGGAGACGAACAAAAATTAGGACAGGAATTATCCACCAATTCCTTACCTTTTCCAGGAACAAAGATCGGAACCACCTTCTTGTTCAACAGTCCTCCCTCGTTGATAACCAACGGTCTTTCCTTCAAGTTCTTAAAATTGTGATTAAAATTCTCAAGGACCTTCGATCCGCCATTGAAGACTTCTTGAGCGTCCACAGTCGAGACTACCAAACTCTTCCTGTAATTCTTCCAGGCATCTGATGGGAGAATTCTTTTATTCTCCATCGAATCCTACCGTCTCGCCGGAAGACCGGCTGAACGCCGGACAGCTCCGCCGCGAGAAAAAACAAGAACCGCCAAAAAGAAATTTGAAATCCCAGAGATTCTCTCACTACTTTCTCTCTCTAACTTGTCCTCTAACTCGCTTTTTTTTCTTTCATATTTATTGATATAATTTTGTGCTCAATTTTTAGTTTGAGCATTATTTGCTATGTTGGTTTTTTTCTCTTCTAATTTTTTTCTTGTTTTTACTTTGATTAATTAATGGGCTATTTCCCAAATTTTTTTTTAAAGTTCTTTTTTGTAATATTTAAATCTAATTGATAGCCTAAGCACTTGCTTCCATAAGCACAGATCACACAATTCCACGTGCGGGTCCATTTCTCCGTTCTCACGAGCCATTCCACGTAATAATTTAGCGATAATAAAATTAATATTAAATTGGACACCGTCATTCGATTTAGAAGTACAATTGTTGCAATCGATACCATCCTTACTTCTTCTCTTCTGTTAGCTCCACGAAACCTAGGGTTCGTCGGCCTGTTTGATGTCGATAGCATTTTTCCTGGGGGCGCGCAAAATAAAGGTAATTTCTTTCCTGTATTCCGGAATCCATTCCCCGAGTATAGGTATTTTCCGACAAAAATCCGCTTGGGTTTCCGCATAATATCTAATTGTCCTGAATCCCATTGGGAAGTATTCCGCACCTTGATTGGGTGTATGGATTTGGAGGAGGAGCACCCTACATCCAAATCTGTTGAGGGGGAGAAAGGAAGTGAGACTTCTAATAAGATGCTGCCTTCGGATGAAATTTGGGCGGATTCCCACGACGAGGTCGCTCCTGAAGAGCCACCAAAGCTTGTTGACACTACTGAAAATTGTTTCACTGATCCAGCAGTTGCCGTATTTGAATCATTAGTTGAGGCGGTAGGGTCTCCTCCCACAGTGGCAGACCCTATCAGAGATGAAACTACAAAAGAAGTCAGTAGCAATTCTCAATCTCCTGCAAGTAATACAGAGTTAGTGGAATCAACACCGGTGGTTACTAAGGGGAATGGGCTGAGGAAATGGAGGAGGATAAAGAGGGATTTGAAAAAGGATGGAGGTAGCAGTGCTGATTCCGCCCAGATTCTGAAGCGCAGGCTGCAAAATACTGAGCCTTTCAAGAGCGAAGAGGAGAATAAGTTGAAGAGTAAGGCTGAGGCTGATCGTGAAGATTCGGTAGCATCTTTGGAATCGAGGAATGCAGATATCAATCCCCTTCCGCTTGGTACTGGGGGCCTGAACCTGGAGCTGGAGCGCTTGGCAAGTGGTGGCTTTTCCATTGGCGTGGATTCAGATAACAGCGAAGATCACAATAGCAAATCATCTACAGCTACTAGTGCTCCACGGATGAGGCATGAAGCGCTTTCATCAGGCAAGGATAGAGGGAGGCTGAAAATTTTTTGTGGGAAGGGAACAAACCGTCTCGGTATTCAGAAGGTTCAACAGTGCAGAGGAGGGACGGTTGATGCCAACAAAAAAAACAAAGGAGATTTGGCTAGATTTGAGGAGAACTCTCTTTCTAGTGTGGAGTCTGATTTGAGAAGCGCTGTAGCTGGAGTGGTGCAATGGGGCAGTGTGGATGGCAGTAACGGAAATCCTAATAGAAGGTCTTTGAATTTTGACGAACATAGTGATGAGGCTCATACAGGAGAAGAGGCTCGATCAGGCTACTTTAAAGAAAATGGGAAGGCTGAAAACCTATCCAGAGAAGATTTGGATGCTGAGCTTTTGGAGGAGAACAATCAAAAGAGTGGGAATTTCCAGTCAAGTTCTGATCTTGATCCTTTAATTGAATCAATGGGTTCCCTTCACGAGGCCGAAAAAGCGCTAGAAAAAGGTCCATACTAATCCCCTATTTGTTGCTTTGGTATATTGTTGATTAGTTCACCATCATTTTTATGCTCGCTTCTATATTTTCTTTCAGAATAGGCAATTATCATTTTTTTTATTTTTTAAAATCTTAGATGCTACTTTGGACATTTTTCTAGCTTTTGTTTTTTTTCCAAATTATCGGATTCTTTTTAAATGGTGTTCAGAAGAGCTGATAATAACATTGGAACTTATAGACTTTCTTCTACAGCTGTAAAATAAGAACTAAAGTAGTATAATAAAAAAGGTATAAAAGAAAGCAGGACAATGGTTATTGTGTAAGTAATTCCCCTTGATGTTTTCTGTAGCCTTTACATTATATATATAATGTAAAGAGCTGAAGTTGCTTTACACGTGTGTGGCTTAGATGATTTGATTTGTTGTAATCAAAGGGTAGAGATTTGTATCGCTAGTAGTGGATGCCTCTTTGTCAATAGTAGTGGTGTATAGTTCTTTTACTCCCCCTGCAAATTGATGGTGCTGGAAGTACTGCCATTTTGGATCTGAGTTGAAATCAAGGAGTCGAGAGTGGTTTATTGAGAATGTTAGCTATCTATTCCTTGGTGTTGATTAGAACTATGCGAGCTGTCTTTGAATGTATATGATCACGAATAAAATGATGATCAATTTCTATATGTTTGGTTATGACATGAAAACAATATTATTTGCAAGGGCTATAGCTAACATGTTGTCACAGTGTAGATCAGTTGGATGATTGAGTGAACTGTTGAAATCCTGTAGCAGCCTTCTAAGCCAGATGATGTCTGCTGTAGCAGAAGTTAGTGCCCGATATTCTGATTCAATAGAGGATCTTTCAACGGTGTGTTGCTTCTTACATTCCAGGAGATAAGTGTATTTCCAATGAGCGAACAATATCTGGATGTAGATTTGCGGGTAGATGGGTCGATCACCTAGTTAGTGCCAGAGGAGGTGATAATGAAGGGACATTTGGAAATGGGCAGACCATATTGAATCGTTCCTTTGAGATATCTGAGAAGTCTTTTGAGTAGATGGGAGTGTTGAGGAAGAGGATGATGCTTGTATGGACATAGTTGATTGACTGTGTAGGCTATGTCAAGACGGGTGATGGTTAGGTATTGTAGAGACCCAGTTATTTGGTGGTAGGTGTGAGGGTCTGAGAGTAATGGATCTAGGGAGAAGATATAGGTGGATTGGTGGATATGGGATTGGATAACGGGTTGCAATTGGAGAGACCAGCTTGAGTGAGGGTAGATGTTGCATAGGTCTATTGAGAGAGGAAGTAGGAATTGTTATGATGGCTGGTTTGAATGCCCAGGAGTTGTTATGGTGTCGGACACGCGTGCCCAAATTGTATTTATTAGTTTTTTTAATCGGGCATGTTTTTGGTGTGTTTGAAACGTGTCGAAGGCGTGTCGTGCCGGACACTGCTCGCCTCTTTGAGGAGAAGTGTCAGTGCATCCTTGCTCAAAATAGGTTTGATCATCTTATAATTTTATATATGCATCGTATGTATGTATCAACAAATGCATGTGAAGATCAATTCCTCTATATTTATGCATGCTTGAATGATATGCGTCAAGTTTAAACTTGGTGCAAGTGATGCGAATTAACATGTAGAAAGTCTAGTTGATGATGAAATCAATTGATCTTGAGCAAAGACACCAATTCGAAGGTCTATTGGAGTTCCAGCTGGTCCAAATTAGTAAATTTTAATTTTGAGTTGGGTCTAGTTTGCTTCTACATAACTCATTATCACATCTACTTCATTGTAGAAGTGACTGGCGGCATATATCTTTCCATTTCTATGCTTTGAATTTTATGCAAAGAAAACTGTCATCTCTATTTTCTTTTATTATATATTTTCTTTCCAGAAGCCCCTTTTGTGCTCATCTCTTTTAAATAGTTAAAGCATTCCTTAATTTTTGGTCGTGGTTAAATTTTTTCTCAAAACCTATGTTGCACCAACACGGATATGGCGACACGGATAAGACATGATACGGGATATGGGACACGTCAATTCTTAAAAATACAGTATATGGGTACAACACAGTTATGTCATTATAATTTATAAATCATACATAAAAATTAAGAAAGCAATCAAAACATAATATTTGAAATGAAAAAAAATGAAAACAACATCATTTGCATCCTTGTAGTTTATAATATCAAAATAAAAGTAAGCATTTAATATTTAAAAGTCTAGCACAACAAGAAAGTTCATTTGAGTGTCGTATCAGACCCGTATCCGTGTTCGACACGTATCTGATATAGTACGCCTTCATAAATAGGTGTATCGGTGCAATATAGCTCAAAACTAGTCAATTCCCTGCAATATCCTACTCTCTCTCTCTCTCTCTCTCCCCCTACTTTTTCTATGTCAATCTCAATGAAAATGGTTTTTCGATTGCTTTGCCAGTTATCTACAAATTAAAATACGAAGCTAAAAAATATTGAATTGAGTGGAAATTGGAGACTTGCTATAATATATATGTAGGTGCAAAAGAGTTTCATAAATTGTTTTTGTCCTAAAAAATTTTTGGGTTAAGGTCTTTTTAAATTCAACTTGATCCATGAATCTAAGAAAAATTGGAAGTCTTGATCCTGAATAAATTTAAATTGAAATTTTTGAATTTTTGTCTTTTTATTGATTCCTCTCTAAGGTAGAAGTTTATCAGAAATACATTGTCATGTCAGTAATTATTTTACTTGAAGATTTTTCTCTACAAATTGGTTAAATATAATAACCTACTTTTTGCATAATGTTTGTATTTTTGTAAAGAATTTTATAAGTCCCATCCTTTGACCATCATTTTTCTATTTTATTTTTCTTTCGAATTCAGGAAGTTAAATTAAACAGCCTATCCCAAGCGAAGTGTTTTCTTATATTTTTTGTAGTAATGGGTCACCCTTCTTTTATTCCTTTTTTGTCAATTAGCCTAGCATACACTGGAAGCAATCAAACCTGCGTGAATGATTTTTCTTTCCCATACGCTCATCCTTCTGCACGGGATGGACTTCATTTCTCTGCTTTGGCGGACTACTTTTATTTCTTATTGGTGATATTTTCTTTTCACATATGCTAATTGTTATCCTCTCTATGCTTTGTATGTTTGACTGAAATTGGGAAATTGGTAGTTTAGCTGAACTTTATTATTAATAGTGCTCAATTGTATTATTGATAGTTTTTGGTAGCCAGTACTGTACTATGGTTTGGCAAGAACATTTAATACATATGGATGAAAGGGCCTTCTAAATAGGAATTATCAGCCCCAATCTATTTGTCACCTCTCATCTCCGACAAATTTTGATATTTTGAACCCTTGAGTTGTTCTACTAGTACTCTTTAGTAAAATAGACAATAGCAAAAATTTTTTTATTTCCCTCCTTTATTTCTCAGAAACCAACAAGAAACTAAGTTTGTAGTTCAAATTTCCAAATAAAATAAACCTGTTATTTTTTTTAGTATGACTTATTTCATTTTTAAACGACTTGCATGAGAGGTTATGCTCATAATATCTCATCTGCAATAGGGTGTTTCTCATGCCAGGTTATTTTCTAATTTATATAGATTCTATGCTCACACATGATCTTTAAGTCATGTTTAATGGAATATTATTTTTCATAACTTCACGGTGTGTAATTGATATAATTCATTTTTGTTTTGCAAGTCAGATTTTCTTTCTAGTGACTTCTTAAGCTATTTTTGCACCATGGATTTTACTTTTGCTTAATTCAAAAAACACACCTTAGTATGTTATGTTATTATTATTATTTTTATTTGCCGATGAAGCATTTTGTTAATTGAATGTTGTGTAGCAAAAAAACTATTTTTGCACCTTGGAGTTTACCTTTGCGTAATTCAAAAATCACTCCTTATTATGTTTTGTTATTATTATTATTATTGTTTTTTGGCCAATGAAGTGCATGTTGGTAATTGAATGTTGTGTAGCAAATAAAAACCTTTATGGCTGTTGACCTATAATCTACAGCCAAGCAGAAACAAAACAAAAGAAATAAAAAAATGCAAAAATCATTACCTCTGTCGGATATCCTGGCAAAATGATCGCAAATCCTGCTTTGCTACGGTTGCCCATCGCTCTGCAGCTGCGCCTAACTCACGTCTTTTCTCCCGTATGCGAAAATCCCACTCGATCCCGTCGTTAAATACCCGACCAAGAGAAGGATTCAGGCACTCACTCGCTTTCTACCCTCTCCCGATACCCCTTCCCACGACACTCCACTGCCTCCTGATCTCCCCTCAATCCCGAGCCCAGCAGCCGGAATCCTCCCAGCCTCCGATCAAAATCCCGATCTCCCTCACTAACCGACCCCCTCTTAGTCATCCAGCCACCAATCCAGACAGAGAGAGAGAGAGAGAGAGAGAGAGAGAAAACCAACCTTACCTGTGCCGACCGAAGCTCCCGATCTTTCTCTCGCACGGCCGACCTCCACCTCCCTCCGACGACGACTTTCCATTCACTGTCGGATCGGAAGTTAATACATTTGATCGG